TCAGTGTAGTATAGAACACGGCCAGGCCTCTTAGTGAACTGGAATAAATACATAATCACGGGTACTTTTCTAGTTGATTTCAATATCACATGTCTCACATTCCAATTCACAAATAACTATATGCAATCTTTAAAATTCCACATATACCATAATGAAAGACTATTTCCACATTTATCATGAAATTAGACAAATAATTCACATAATTGCATAAAATGTATAATAGTATAATTAATTTATCAATACTTGAAAAATATTTAAGTTTTTCCACTACAAGCTATTTACGGGGTGATTAGTTTGGCCAGTAAGTTGTCTCGATCTTTTCGCTACATCCTGATATAATAATAAATTTATTCGGGTCAAAACTCAATTCACAACTTTAATAAGAGTAATAGGATAACAATTTCACTTCTCTTTAACATTTTACCCACTAATCACCACATATATCAAATTCATTACTCACTCACCTTATACATATACAACCACCTACATAATTTAATTCAATACCTAAACTTCCATCTTTATCATTTAGTTTCATTCAACTTGTAAAATCTGAGGAAAACCACGTTTTGACAAAAATAGCACTAAGATTCCAGAATATTGAATTCTGTCACCTGTTTTTATATACTGAAAATTACCATCAAAACTATTGACAAAATTAGCACTGCCCAAGAATAATTTCAAAAATAGCATCTGTATATGATTTTGTCCGAAAATTGCTAAAAAATATGGAAAATTCCAACCTCAAATCCTTAGTTTAAGTATTTAGCATCATATATTCAAAAGAAAATCAAAGAATATGTCTTTATTTCACAAACCCATTTCAAAGTTCCACTTCCTTAAACCTCAATCTTCAATTAAACATTTCTTTGTTTTACTCCAATTTAAAACCCCAAATAAACATCAATAACTCCTCATTCTTGCTAACTTCGAATTTTTAAAAAATTCCATAAACACATTCTTATATTTACCTTTCTAAATTAAATGAAGAAGTTGAGAAATTAAAAATCTAACGTTGTAAAATTGGAATCTATCTCTTCCCCTTTTTTGCTTCTTATTTTCCTTCTTCTTTCTTCCCTTCTTTTATTTTCTTTCCTTTCCTTTCCTTTCCCTTTTTTGTTCTTTCTCTTTGGGTTCTCTCTGTTCTTTGCTTCTCTCCAAAGAAATGTGCAATTTGGATAGATAAAGTCAAAGTTAAA